GGCTGCGCGACGAGCTGGCCTCCGAGCAGGACAAGCAGCTCCGCCTGCAGAAGGTGGGCCGCAAGAGCTACAGCGCCGAGGTCCACGGGGGGGGGCGTCCATGCGCCTGAAGACCTTCCAGAACAACCAGACGTGCAACAAGGACTTGAAGTGGGCGTGCGAGTTCGCCACCCCGAGGCTGCGCGCGAGCGGGCGCAGGGGCCGGCGCCTCTCCGACCAGAAGCTTCAGACTCTCAGCAAGAACAAGGCCAAGCTGACCTGGGCCACGGCTGACAGGTAGTAGTAGTAGTAGTAGTAGTAGTAGTAGTAGTAGTGGTAGCAGTAGTAGTCGTAGTAGTAGTAGTAGTAGTAGTAGTAGTAGTAGTAGTAGTAGTAGTAGCAGTGGTAGTGGTAGTAGTAGTAGTAGTAGTATTAGTAGGAGTAGTAGTAGTAGTCGTAGTCGTAGTCGTAGTCGTAGTCGTAGCAGCAGTCGTAGTAGTAGTGGTAGTGGTAGTAATAGTAGTAGCAGTAGTAGTAGTACTAGTTTTTTCGTAGTAGTAGCTGTGGTCGTAGTAGTAGTAGTCGTAGTAGTAGTAGTAGTAGTAGTAGTAGTAGTAGTGGTAGTAGTAGTAGTAGTAGTAGTAGTAGTAGTAGTACTAGTAATAGTCGTAATAGTAGTAGTAGTAGTAGTAGTAGTAGTAGAAGTAGTAGTAGTAGTAGCAGTAGTGGAAACAGAAAGTGTAGGAACTACTTTTTTATTTTTACTCCTGCCAATACTTTTATTACTACTACCAGCTACTACGAGTGCTGCTAGCAGCTACTATTAGTACTACGACGACGACTAGTAGAAACTGTTACTACTAGTAATTACTATTACTATTACTACCACTACTAATAGTGTTGATACTCTTTTCCACGACTAGCAGTAACTCCTACTACCACTACTAGTAAGTACTACTACGAGCCAAACTAAGGTAGCTACCACTACTACTATTATTATTACTACTACTACTACTATTACTACTACTACTACTACTACTATTGCTACGACTACTACTACTACTACTACTACTGCTACTACTACTACTACTACTGCTACTACTGCTACTACTGCTACTACTGCTACTACTGCTACTACTAACACTACTACCACTACCACTACCACTACCAGTACCACTACCAACACCACGACCACTACTACTTCTACTACTACTTCTACTACTACTAGTACTACAGTTACTACTACTACTACTGTTACTACTACTGTTACTACTACTACTACTACTACTACTACTACTACTACTACTACTACTACTACTACTACTACTACTACTGGTTTACCCCAGTATGTTCGTGCACCAGGTGGCGAGGGGGGCTCCGAGGACCTCGGCCTCTTCGTCGGGGGCCCCGAGACCTTCGCCCCCAGCGCGAGCGCGGTCGTCGTCGACGCCGCCGCGCTCTGGCTCACGCTCCGAGGCGAGGAGCAAGCGTGCGTCCGCGAGTGGGGGATCTACGCTGCAGGCGCCAAGAGTCGCATCCAGAACCTCCGCCGCAAGTTCCGCGAGACGCAGGTCGAGGGGGGCAAGGCAGCCTTCGCGGCCGAGAAGGCCGAGAATTTGGCAGAGCACCCTGACCAGAAGGAGCAAGTGGACCAAGTTTACTCGAGCGCAGGGGGCAAGTACAGGATCACCCTCATCAGCGTCTCCGCAGCCGAGGGCTGGTTCGACCCGAGCAGGGGTCCGAGTCCGCCAAGAAGCGCAGCGTGCTCCTCGCCCCCTGCGCAAGGCGCTGCCGATTGAGCGACGTGAACCTCGAGGAGGGCACCTGGCGGCGCGACGTCGCCAACGAGCGGGGCGACGGCGAGGCGGAGCGCTTCCGAGCAGGCGAGCCCCCAGGAGCATTGCTCAAGGGCTGGCGCAACGCTCTGCTCGAGTTCTCCGATGGGGATCGCGCGAGGGCCTTCGAGGCCATTGACGTGTGGGGGCAGCCCGGGCCTGGGTGGGCGAGCTCGTCGCTTCCTGGGCCATCGACTTCGTCGAGCAGCAGCGCGGCCGGAGCCTCGTGTTCGCAGGCTGCCTCTCGAGCCAGTTGGCCGAGGCGGTGGCGCTCCGAGCGTGGCTCGAGAATGTGGTCTACGCGCCCATGGCCCCCGACGTTGCGAGCTTCTTGCAGGGGTCGGGCGCCCGCGAGCCCAGCCAGCCCAAGGCCGTGATGCGAGAGGTCGAGGCCGAGATGCGTTGGGCCGTGGAGCAGGACTGGGTCCAGAAGGCCGAGGCCGAGCCCGAGAAACGGTGCAAGTCCCCGACCCAATGGGTGCCCTACGAGTGCCTTTACTGCGTCGCCGAGGCCTGCGCCCGCTTCCGCGAGAACAACAAGGGCGCGGTGCCGCTCCAAGGGCTGCGTGCGAATCAAATGCTCGCGAACCAGCCGACAGAGCAGGGCGAGCTCAAGGTCGTCGCGGGCGCGGGGCCGTGGAGCAAGTCCGTCGAGCCCGGCCGCGGCGTCGAGCTGGCGAGCGCGTGCCTGCCGCCCGTTCCCGAGTGGGGCGTCCTCGACGGGAACTGCTTCCACCTCGACGACTTGCCCGGGGACTGCGAGAAGGACGAGAACCCCTGCCTCCTGGAGCTCCGAGCACTGGGCCTCGAGCTCACCGACGAGCAGAAGGATGTGCTCTGAGCGCCAGGGGGGCGGATCGAGGAGATCCAGTTCCCGTGCGCCCTCGAGAACCGACTCAAGGCGGCGCGAACAAGTCAACGCAAGAACAGGTGGGCGTCCAAGTTCTCCGGCCAGTTCCTGGGCAAGTTGCAGCGCGAGTGGCAGCGCGCGATGGCCGAGACTGGCGGCGAGGCCTCGCTCGAGCACCTGGGCCGCGGCGTGGCCAAAGCGAAGCTCGCAGGCAGGGCGCCGAAGGCCAAGGCGAGCTTCTCCCAGAAGTTCATGGCCAAGACGCAAGCGGAGAAGAACGCCAAGGAGAAAGCGAATACCACGGCGAAAACAGGCTTCGAGGCTTGCGAGGACCCCCCCCGGCACGGCAAGGCGCCCCGCGTCGCCGAGGAGGGGGTCCACGAGGGCGGGCGCGGCAGAGTGCAGGGCGCGCGCCGCCTGCGCGTCCACGAGGTGGGGGCCGCGGCGATCTCCCAGATCGAGAGCAGCGAGGCTCGGAGGCTCGCGGGCACTCGTTAGCTTCCGCCTGCTTCCGCCTGCTTCCGCCTGGTGCGGCGGAAGCTAGCGGGAGCTAGCGGAGACGGCGGAAGCGACGGCGGAATCGGCGGAAGTTGGCGGAAAATTGGCGACGGAAGCGACGGCGGAACCTCGAAGCCACGAAGAGGAATCAGGCGGAAGCTCGCGAGTGTCTGTGAATCCCGAGCGCCACAGGTCACGATCGAGCAGGGCCGCATGTTCCCCAGTCCGCGCAGGCTCGACTGGCGCCAGACCAAGTGGTTCGCCGCGCCGAGCTCGCCACGGAGTGCGCGATCGTGAACTGCGAGCAGATCGTCGAGGGCGACGCCCTCGAGCTGGGCGCAGTGCGCGCGCTGCTGTGCGAGATCGAGGAGCGCGTGGGCGTTCTCGAGACCGTTCTGGCGGTGGAGCTCTCGGTGGCCGTCGCCTGGGCTCGAGAGGGCCGGGGCGAAGGCGAACCCGCCGCCCGGCGGCCCGAGGGGCAGGGGCGGTGGGCCAGGAGAGTCCGCGAGGCCGAGCACGTCTTGATCTGCGTGCACTCCGAGGCGCCCGCGCGCTATACTGACGTTAAGGTCGGTGGTTGCTGCAGTTGTCCCTGCCCCAAGGTGCCGCCAGTTTTTCGTTCCGTTTTGGAGCGAATCCTGGAGGCACCTTTGGCAGGGGGCATTTATAGCAACGCCCGCGAAGGTGTCGAGGGTCGGCGGGGGCGTCGCGGTGGAGTGCCGCGACGCCCTCGAGCAGGCGTCCGAGAACGCCAAGCAGGCTTAGAGGGCCACATGCGAACTCACACCTACACCCCGCGATTTCTGAGAGGGGAGGTCGGGTTCTTTGCTCGGGGGGTGCCGAATTCAGTGAACCCCGCACTCCTCCTTTGAAATTGTGGGTGGGGTTCGCACGTGCCGCCCTTGGCGCCATTGGCCCTGGTGAGACCTGCCCTGCGAGGAGCGACCCCGCGTTCCAGGCCGACGCCTGGTCCTGCGGCCTGTGGGCGAGTCGCTGGATCGAACGCGCCCGGCGCGAGATCCGAGGCGAGGGCTGCCAGGCGCCCGTGCGCATCGGCGCGATGTGCGCCCGAGGCGACGAGTGGATCAACGTGCTCAAGGAGGCCGGCGGCAACGACATGACCAAGGCCAAGGCAAAGGCCAAGGCCATGAGCAAGGCCAAGTCCAGGCCCTTCAAGGGCCCCGCGGCGGTCGGGCCCAAGCGCGCCATCTTCGAGGAGGCAAGCGCTGCCGCTCAGGCCTGCACCAGGTGCCTCCCGCGCAAGGGCGGCTCCACAGGGTGCCGAGCCTGCGCGGGCGAGTGTTTCGAGGCCGTGCTCAAGAGAGGTTTCTTGGCCAGGAGCGCCAAGGACCTCTCTTGCGTAGGCAAGTTGTAGCCACGAGACACGAGATCTCTCGATATTGTCTTGCGCCCAGATCTACGAGGTCAGTCTGCGCGAGCGCCCGGGATCATCATCATCAGCATCATCATCATCAGCATCATCATCATCATCATCATCGTCGCCTTCGCCGGGAAAATCGTCGATTATTCCCGCCAGACCTCCCGAACTGAACTATCCGCCGGGGATTATTATCTGGGGCGCTGGGCTTGGTATGTTTGGATCTTCACATCCCAGTTTCTATTCGGCGCTTTTCTATTTCAAGAGTCTAGCGGTTTTCCCTTGTCCCTCCTCCTCGGGGGGCGGGCGGAAACATGATCTATTTCCAACGCTTTCCTACTTCATTTTTCTGCCCGCTTCTTCCGACCGACGGGTGCGCCCAGCGGACTGGTGGGATTCGACCTGCGAAAGTGTCGAGCAGTTGAGGTGGCACCCGTGGCCGCGTCGAGGGCCCTCCCAGGCGCGGCTTCGTGGCCACGATGCTGCGGGACAGCCACCGGCGGCACCTCTCGAAGGTGGCCCGCAGGAACGCCGCGCCCGGCCACGGCGGAGCCAAGAGGAGGAGGCCCGACTCCGCCTGTGCGGGCGGACGGCCGGAGGACCCAGGGGGAAATGCACACCATCTTCCCCCTCCTCCACCTCCCTCCTCCACCTCCACCTCCACCTCCACCTCCTCCTCCTCCTCCCCCTCCTCCTTCCCTCCTCTCCCCCTCCTCCCCTCCCTCCTCCTCCTCCACCTCCTCCTCCTCCTTCTCCTCTCCTCCTTCTTCTCCTCCTCCTTCTCCTCTTCCTCCTCCTCCTCCTCCTCCCTTTCCCTTTCTGTTCCTCCTCCTTCTCCTCCTCTTCCTCCTCCTCCTCCTCCTCCTCCTCCTCCTCCTCGTGTCGTCACACAAATATGCGGAAGGTTTTTGGCAACCCGCGGCCTCTCGGGGGCCTTGGTCGCGCCCCGGGACCATCAACAGGCGAGTCAGGATGGAAAACTGGTCCCCAGGAAGGGGTGCATACCCTCAGGGGCCTACACCCTAGGCGATGCTTAAGAAAACTTAAGTTTTCGGCGACAGTCTCGATTATTCTTAATGTTTCAATGTAAATCCTAAGATTTTGATCGACGTTCTGGGATTGTATTCAAATTCTCAGACTCTGAGTTTCTTAACCCATGATTTCTTAAGCATTTCGCAGGGTGTACTGATGCCCTTCCTTGAGATTCGAGGGGGGGCCGCTTGCGGCCCCCTGGGCAGTCGAAGATCGCTCCGGGTCGAAGGGCAGGCCAGAATGGATCCCTGAAGGGGATCCAGGACCCAATCGGGGCGGATTTTGGCCGGGAGGGCCACGGGAGAAAAAAACAGAGGCCCAGGATGTCGGGGTCGCCTCGCAGTGGAGAGGAGCTGGCGGAGTGGTTTCAGGCGCCGGTGGGCCGCACCACTGTCTCCCGCAGCCTGCTGGAGCTGCGGGACGCCCGGGTGGCGCAGGCAGAGGTTCGGGCGCGGAGGCCCCCCGCGGGCGGGCGAGGAGGAGAAGGGAGGCGGATGAGGAGGAGGAGGGCGACGAGGAGGAGATCGGAGGGCGTCCGGGCCCTTCAAGATTCCTCAGGAGTGAGGATCGGGGCTTAGAGGATTGGGCCCAGGACCTGAGGACACGCCCACTCTGTGCCCAGAGGCACGGTGGTGGATGATCATGCATTCTAACAAGGTGTCCAGCAAAATCCCCGTTTTGACAAGGGACTGCCCCATTTGTGCAACCGCTGTGCAAGTTTACGCACCTGGTCATGGACTTCGAGGAAGTTTCGAGCGAGAGCCCCATATTTGAAAGCAGTAGTCTTGGATTCGTGCGGTTGTTACACATGTTCCATTTTCTGGTCTATACATATGCGGAAATCTTAAGCAAGAACCCCATTTTGGAAAATCCTCCATCCTTGCGACCATCCCAAGCTGTTGCAACGAATGTGCACTGTGCTAAGGCGAGGGCCCCATTTTGAAGCAGAACCTCCCTCCATTCTTCTAGTTGTTACGCAATTTTAGGACGGATGTGCGCAGCATTAAGGAGAGACCTCAAAATTGAAAATGACCTTTCCATCATTTGTAAGTGCTGTGAGCAGCTAAGACGAATGTGCGCGGTGCAAAAGCCAGAGCTCTATTGTGAAAACGTCTCACATCTTTGTAACTATTGCACGTCGCTGTTGCAAGCTTTTGGACGAGTGTGCGCAGCGCTCAGGCGAGAGCTTCATCTTGCTAACGACGCCCAATCCATGTAACTGTTGCAACCTTTTGTGATGAATGTGCACGGCGCCAAAGCGACAGTTCCGTTTTGAAAACGGCTCGTTTCCATCTGTGTAGCTGTTGCAACTTCCAATCTTCATAATCATAAGTTGGAAGGAAGTTTCATGCGAAGCGGCCGGCCCGTCCTAGCAACACGTCAGGGGATACGACAGGGAGAAATTATCTATGAGGGCAAAGGATGGAAGAGGAGGAGGGGAGGAGGAGGAGGCTGAAGAGGAAGAGGAGGAGGAGGAGGAGGAGGAGGAGAGGAGGAGATGACGAGAGGAAGAGAGGAGGAGGAGGAGGAGGAGGGAGGAGGAAGGAGGAGGAGAGAGGAGGAGGAGGAGGAGAAAGAGGACGAGGAGGAGGAGGAGGAGGATACTGATTCTGATTATGATGATGATGATAATGAGGAGGAGGAGGAGGAGGAGGAGGAGGCGGACGAGGAGGAGGAGGACGAGATGGGAGGAGGAGATGTGAGGAGGACGACTAAGAGGAGGAGGAGGAGGAGGAGGAGGAGGAGGAGGAGGAGGAGGACAAGTATAGACCCAAATCGCACCAACGATGTTGCAATAAAGCATTCCTTCCCAGTCATATTTTGTTAGTTCCCTGCATGAGTGCATTTTCATTGCGGGATGTGCCGCATTGAAGTACAACCGATTGAGAATCTGAAATCGTACCGAAACACCCGTCCTGAGACTTCAACGCTGCGAATCAACTTGAATTTTGCGTTCTGACACCAAGACGTGCCAGAACACTGTTCTTGGGACTTCAACACCGCGGATTCACGTGATTGTTGTGTCCTGACAGCTGTACATCGTGCCAGCACACAATGTCTGGGACTACAATCTCGCGAAACTTTGAAACAGTCGTAAACTTTTGAAGCGGGTGTGCGCGGCGTCCAGGCGAGAGCGACAGTCAAACAAAAGAACCGCCCCCCATCATTGAAGGTGTTACAAACTGATAGTATGACTGTGCGCGGCGCTAGGGCGCTAGGGCGATAATAAAATCAAAATGCACCCGCCCTCCATCTTTGAAGCTGTTGCAAACTTTGAAAACGAATATGCGCGGCGCTATGACGAGAGCCACATTTTGAAACCACCCACCCCCATTCTTGAATTTGTTGCGAGCTTTGCAGACGAATGTGCGGGGCGCTCAGGCGAACGCCACATTTTGAAAACGACTCGACGTCCAGCTTTGAATTTGTTGCAAATGTTAATTGTCAGAGTCATAGCTAGCGAGAACGTCTCAGGCGAAACGCCCAGCCCGCCCTACCGACAGGTCTGGGGTTGCGACAGGGAGGAGTTATGTACAAGCTGAGCAGTAGGAGGAACAGGAGGAGGATTAAGACGAATATGAAGCAAGGAAGCATGGCGAAGCAGTGAGGGGGAAGGAGGCTTGGACCGAAGAGGACGGCCGAGGTTGTTCCCCACATCCTGGGTGGGTTTTGTTTTCCCAGAGCAGCCTCCTCTCCTTCTCCTCCTCGTCCTTCCCTCCTCTGGCAAGCACTTCCGACGGCACGCGCTTTCAACTCCACCAGTCCCATTCACCATCCAGGTGGCTCTTACTTTACGAGTTCAGTCCTACTCGACAAGGCCACGGGTACCTTTGCCACCACCACGCCATTCCAACCACTCTGCCACCACAGTACCAGTCCCACTCCAGCAACCCCACGAATATGCCCCCTCTCCAGTGATGCCGCGTCAGACCGCGCCCGCTCCGCGAGCACCCTGTCATTCATCAGGGATCGGGCCCCTTCCACTCCACCGGCCCCGCCTGTTTCCCGTTCTTGCCTCTCCAGGGAGGCCGCGCCAGACCGCCCGCGCTATGCGGACACCCCGTTGTTCATCAGCGGGGCCCGCCCCCCCCCGCCCCGCCCCGCTGGCATCTCAAGACATCTGGAGGCGCTCAAAGACGTGCGAATGCATCCGAAGGCCTCCGAGGGCCTCCGAGGGCCTCCGAAGGCCTCCCGAGGCAGCCGAATGCCGCCTGAGGGCTTCCGAAGACGTCCGAAGACGTCCGAAGGCCGCCGAAGGCCTCCGAGGGCCTCCGAGGGCCTCCGAAGGCCTCCCGAGGCATCCGAATGCCGCCCGAGGGCTTCCGAAGACGTCCGAAGCCGTCCGAAGGCCGCCGCAGGCCTCCGAGGGCCTCCGAGGGCCTCCGACGACGTCGGCGGGCGTCCCGAAGGCCGCCCGCGGCCCGCCGAGGCCCGCCGAGGTGCGGCCGGGGCCGCGGCGAGCCGCCCCCGCAGGCTGTGCACGCGCTGGGTGCACGCGCCGAGCGTGCGCGCGGCGCCCTCGCCGGACGCCGCCGCGGAGGGGGGCGGCGAGGAGGACCCCTTCGAGGGCCCCGAGCTGGGCACCGAGCACAGGGCGTCCATGGCGAGTCCGGAGCCCCGGATCTTTTTCGATCCTCCTCCTCCTCCTCCTCCTCGAAATGTCCTCCTCCTCCTCCTCCTCCTCCTCCTCCTCCTCCTCCTCCTCCTCCTCCTCCTCCTCCTCCTCTCCTCCTCAAAATGACCACCAGTCCTCCTTCCCAACCACTGGAGGAGGAGGAGAGGACACTCCTCCTCCTCCTCCGCTCGGCTGCCCACGTCGACGGGCGAGCGCGGGGCCCCCACGCGAGCGGCCCCCGGGGGAGGAGGACGGGGAGGCGGGGCGCCGAGGCAGAGCCATCCCGCCCATCTAGAGGCCTGGCAGGACAGGCTTCCTGCGCGGTCGGGGCGAGACCCCGCTCGATCGAACTCCCGTTCTCTGGGTATGACATGTGTTCTCCTCCGTGTGTTTCTGTCTGATGCCTGCGTCCCCGCACCTGGGTCGCCCGCATCTTAATGGGGGGCATTTTGTCCCTGGCACGTGCACTTGTTGCGTCGGCCTATGCGCCGTCGTAGCCAATTATCTCGCCCTGTGCCCCAGCCGAGACCGTCCCGCTTCCTGGTGCTGTCCTTGGAGCCGGCAATCAAAAAAGTATGACACGTGAAGTTTAGCCGGACATCGATCCCACCGCTTGAAACTTGAGTGCCCGTAGATCCCGCATCGTGGGATCGCCCTGGTGTCGCCTTGAAGTCATCTCGAGAGCGTCTCTTGCTCACATTGAGATCGCGGTGTCGTCCTCTGGCCATCCGAAGCCACCGTGAGGTTGCCTGGGGCCTGTCCTGTGGTGGCCCACTCGGGGACACCCGTTGATTCTAATTCAAGTCATCTCGGGGCCCTAGACGCCACTTCGATATCTTGTAAGGGTCGTGGGGGGTCGTCCTGAGATCGTCGTCGGGCCGAATTGAACACGTCGTGGAACGATGTTCGGGCCAAGGTGGCATCTGGGATTCGTCTTGGGTTCGCCTGGAACCCTCGTGCGTTTCCAAGGAAGCTTTCGGTCTGGCAATGCAGGACGTCAGCCGGAGGGTACCAAACGTGCCACCGGCCGAGTGCGACATCCAGGGTACCACAGGGCACGAAGCACAGGGCACCCAATTCAGCGCACCAAAGGTACCTGTGGCAGATGTGGATGCACACGACCAGTTCCGCAGGGACCAAGTGAAAGACCGTTGCTGCAAGCACATTTTACGGAACGGTGGCGATGGTGGTGTGGTGGTGTCTTTTGTTGATTTGGGCAGATGGAGCTGGCAGCAGGCAGGATGATGACCATGATGATGCTGATGAGGATGGCAATGGATGCGGAGGAGGGTGTTGACGAGGCCGGCGACAATGGCAACGGCGACGACGACAACGACGCTGACGCTGACGATGATGGTGACGATGATGATGTTGATGATCATGGTGGTGATGCTGATGATGGTGCGGAAGGCGAGGACGACGACGACAGTATCATGAGCATGAGAGAGTACGTGCTTCGTGGGCGAGTGCCTTGCAAAAAACGGTGGGCACGTGGGAGCCAGCAGACCCCCCAAACAAAAACATTCTGAGCGCCTGGGGAACCGCCCCCCCCCTCCCTCCTGTACACCTGAAGGGACCCTGGGACACACAAAGAAATACACAAATAACAGGATCCCCCATATTTTTTCCATACTCTCTGGGTCTCTTTCTCCCCCCCCCACTTCCCATATTTTCCCAGATTTTCTTGGGAATCGACGATTCATTGTGTTTGTGTGTTTTTTTTCCCTCCTGCAAACATCGGCCTCGCTGGCCAGGAATGGGGGGGCCCCGCCGCTTCTCCGTGGGGAGGCAGACGGTGCGAGCCCGGGGGGGGGGGAGGGCCCCTGTGCAAGGGGGGTCCTTTCGAGCCGGCACCCCCTTCCTCCTCCTCCTCCTCGTCCTCCTCCTCCTCCTCCTCCTCCTCCTCCTCCTCCTCCCCCTCCTCCTCCTCCTCCTTCTCCTCCTCCTTCTTCTCCTCCTCCTCCTCCTCCTCCTTTTTCTCCCTCCCCTCCTCCTCCTCCTCCTCCTCCTCGTCCCCCATAGGCAATCCGATGAGTGCTTGATCGAGCTCCAAAAGGAGTCCTGCTATGGCTGGATCCAACTTGACTCGCATCGTAGTCTGGCCGGGTCCAAATCTGATAGGGTCTTACTTTGGCTGAATCCAGCTCTGCTCGAATGCTGCTGAGGTTCGATCAGGCTCTCATGGGATCTCGTTGTAGGTGGGTCCAACTCAGTCGCATCCCAGCCAGGCTCGATCCAACACCAGAGAATCTTGCAACCGGTGGATCCAGCTCTGATATGACTCGTAATCAGGCTCGATCGAACTCTTACACCTTTTTCGACGTTTCGGATATTCCCACCAGGTCCGTAGCCTGGCTCAAGCCATCTCACGGGCCTGGCCCCCTCGAGCCAGTCTCCCGTGCTCAATGGGGGCGCCCGTACGCTGCACCGCGGGCCCGCGGCCCTGGGCTCCCTCGGGCCCCCTGCGCGCGCCCGCCATATCTGCAGCAGCTCCGCTCGCGGCGCAGCTCCTGCCCGCGGCTCAGATTGGATCAGGGCCGCAATCCCATGAAGGATCTGTCGGATGGCGTCGAGGGGGGCGGGGATCTTTCAGTGCATGGCGCGGGAGCCCAGTCACTGGTCTCGATCGACCCCCCCTATCAGATCCAAATCTGGCGCAGACCCCCCACAGACAGCAGGCCCCTCCCGCAGTCGGGGCAGATAAGGGGCTGGCACCAGCGGCGACCACGACGGCTCGCTGCCCAGCGGAAAACAGTCCCCCAGCGATGCCCACGACCCGCCCCACCAGAGGCCGGCTGAGACAGGTGAGGTTGGCGGACCAGACGTAAACGAAAGGGGCACGGGGACGGACGCTCAGGGGCGGGAGGGTCCTGTCCAGACCCCCCCCCAGACCCACTCCGGACCCCATCTCGATCCCCGTCCCGCCCACGCCTCCCTCCTCCCCCCGCCTTGGGGTCGCACAGGAGTCCGCGCCACCAGCAGCAGGTGCCATCCAACTCCCTGACGCTGATGACGGCGTCCCAAGGGGGCATCGAGAGGCGGTAGTGGATGGGAGCCCTAGAGAGGGCCATGAGGAGGCTCATCAGCCCACAGACGCGGATAGCGCTGTCCCCCCCCCCCGGGGACAAGCGCCTGGACCGCCCCACAGGGGCAGGTCTCTCCCCCGAGAGGCCGCCAGACGACGAGGGAAGAGGCGACCTTCTACATGTGACATTGCGGCTGTTGGCTGCGCCCCCTACCTCCAGGGTGAATGCAAATGTGAACGCTGCGGCTGTTGGCTGCGCCCCCAATGTTGACGGACATGTGAACGCTGCGGCTGTTGGCTGCGCCCCCCATCACCAGGAGATGCAGATTGCTCCGGCTGTTGGCCGCAACCCGCCGGACGGCGCAGCCCGATATCAGTTCATGCCAACACCCAGGGTGGGGGGGCCTGCGAGAGCGCCCGCCCCAGGGGCGTGCCGGATCAGAGTAGCGCCAGCATGGGGGAAGCGTTGCCCGCCCTCTCCCTCCCCCCGCCCCACTCCACTCCTGCCTCCCTTGCGACCTCCCCCCCCCGGCAGGTGCCGGCGAGGCGGGCGCTCCTGGTGAAGACCATGATATTTCCCCCGCGCTCCCCCTCCACCCGATCGGGATCGGGGCGGAAGGCGGGCGGCAGCCCCAGGACGAGGTGGAGTGGGAGTGGATCCTTGAGGCTCGCGAGCCCAGCGGAAGCACCCCCGATAGCGACGTGCGCAGCGATTGGGGGGGCCCCGACGCGATCGAGGTCAGATCTGCCCCCGTCGCTCTAGGTCGCCCGATCGCCCCCCCTCCAGGCCCCCCCCCGCCGCCGCCGCCAGGCTCAAGGCAGCGCAGTTTGGGGGGACAGTCTGACGACCCCGAACACAGACCTCCCAGCTGCGGCCTCGGCCCAGGTCTCCGCGGGCCCTACTGCCGCCCCCGACGATGCGGCAGTCGCGACGCCGACGTGCCCTCCCTGGCCCCGAGGGTCGCCGACCCAGGGGGCACCATGAGAGGGGGCGCCCTTGCAGCGCTCGTGGCGCACCGCGAACCGCTGGGGGGCCCATGGGGGGGCTCCCCAGGCGAGCGGCGCGCAGTCGAGCGATGAGCCAGGGCCTCGAGAACCTGGTACGCATCTGCTGGCTCCGCCACCCCCCCTGGCACGCTGGAATCCGTGCGGGGCCTCGCTTGGTTGGGAACGCCCCCAGCCCTCTCAGGGCAGCGCCCAATCGGAGGGCCCAGCTGGAGCAAGAAACCCCCCACCAGCACCTCGCCGGCGTCCCGGCCCTCGCCCAGCTCGACATGTCCGGGCTTGCGTGGTCCATTACAGGCTCCGACCTGTCCTGGCTTGCATGGTCCATTGCAGGCTCCGACCACGAGGCCAGACTGGGAGGGGTGGGTCCAGACCCAGTGCAGGTGCTGGCTTTCCGGTACTCAAGCCTGGCCCAGGACCCAGCCATCGAGGCGGAGAGTCTGGACTGCGATGACCCAACCGAGGCGGAGCTTGCCGCGGCCCACCTGGAACACGACGCCCTGCACTTTGCCTCCCTCTGCGCGGACGTCGGAGTTAGGGGCCCGTCCGAAGGCCGAATCGCGCTGGGGCCGACCCCGACCACAGGGCTAAACTATGCCGCTACCTCATCCACGAGCATCGCCGCAACCGGGTCCACTGCCCAGACCACAGGGAGGTCAGAAACTGGGCGGTGAATAGAGGGCAGTGGGTCGAGGCAGGCGACTACGTCCTGTCCGCCGGACAGCGCGGGGCGGGACCTGACGGCTGGGCCGCCCCGGCCATCCCCGGCGCAGGGCCCCGATCCCCAGGCATTCCAGGAGTCATTCTCGAGGGCAGCGACGAGCCAGAGGGGCCGTGGCCCACAAACAATGCCTCCCACATGATAAGGTTCGGGGACTTCTTCCACACATCTGACAGGTGCGGGTACTGCGGCTGCTGGCTTGCACGGGATCCCCAAGGTCCCATGTGCATTGTCTGCCGCA